CGTCGTCTGTCTCTCTCTCTCTCTCTCTCTCTCTCTCTCTCTCTCTCTCTCTCTCTCTCTCTCTCTCTCTCTCTCAGATGGGTAAGGCTGAAGGAATCATCAACGATGAGATCCCAAACTGCTGGGAGTGCCCAAAGTGCCACAAGGAGGGAAAAACCAGTAAAGTAAGAACCCGCATGTCACTTCCTGTTTCACCTGTCAGACAGTTAGAGTGTCTTAAAGAGGCACCGCACTCACTATCCATTCACAGCCTCTCATAAAGACTCATTAATAACAATTTGACAAAACAAAACCATGAAATGAGTCATTTCAGAAGAAACACACATCAGATCTTTTAATTGTGGTCTGAAATGGATGTTCACGTGTTTCCAGGACCAGGCGGACGGCTCGGGGAAACGGAGGCTGGATAACGGAGAGGTCGGCCGCTGGAAGCTCACCGACGACCCCCCCCCTAAGAAGAAAGCCCCTCCCTCCCTGGAGGAGGGGGGGAGACAGGAGGGGGGAAGGCAGGAGGGGGGGAGACAGGAGGGGGGTCACAAGAGGAAGAAGGAGAAGGAGCTGCCGCAGGACAGCGGGCCCAAGAAGAAGGTAAGCCGATCACAGAGCCGAGTGTCAGCCGATCACAGAGCCGAGTGTCAGCCGATCACAGAGCCGAGTGTCAGCCGATCACAGAGCAGAGTGTCAGCCGATCACAGAGCCGAGTGTCAGCCGATCACAGAGCCGAGTGTCAGCCGATCACAGAGCAGAGTGTCAGCCGATCACAGAGCCGAGTGTCAGCCGATCACAGAGCAGAGCGTCAGCCGATCACAGAGCAGGTGGGGGTGGGGCTTGTGGCTGAGAGGAGGGGGTGTGGCTTGTGGCTGAGAGGAGGGGTTTAAGGAAAACTCAGGTATGATGCTTTAAAAGAAAACTATAAACTTCTTGATAGACCATCTAAGGCTGCTTTCCCCAAAGTAAACACAAGTCGACTCTATATAGATTAGCGGTTCAGGTGTTCAGCGGTTCAGGTGTTTAGCGGCTCAGGTGTTAGCGGTTCAGGAGTTTAGTGGTTCAGGTGTTTAGCGGTTCAGGAGTTTAGCAGTTCAGGTGTTTAGCGGTTCAGGTGTTTAGCGGTTCAGGTGTTAGCGGTTCAGGTGTTTAGCGGTCCAGGTGTTTAGCGGTTCA